ATATATAAATTGGTCTCACCCCTGGTTTATAACAGTTCATCTCTTTTGCATATATTTTATATATCTCTTTATGTTTAATATATATAGAATGTTTTCACTTTTATTGGATCAATCTTTAATCGCAAATTTTTTAAATGAAGAAACAAATTAGAAACAAATTTAATTAATCCGATAAAAGCGTAAAACATTTGTATACTCTCATTTGTATTTCTCGTTTCTTCGATAAAAATGCACATAAGCATTATATAAGAATGTATATGAATCATATCGCTCCTTATATTTCTCTCCATCGAAAACTTCACTAGTAGGACAGTGAGAAACATGTATATAACATATGTAATATGTATAATATCTGTATATATAATACTTAGACATATACACATTTACAGATACAAAAAAAACTATAATAATTTTTCTATTATAGTATATTAATAATATAATTTTATGTTTATTATATGAGACTTACAATACTCTCTGTTCTAGGCTAATATACAATTACACATCCTGTATATAATAATTATCTTATAATAATCGTCCGTATACTTTCAGGAACAGAGGCCGGTGAATGCACGGACGTGGGGTCAGATTGCGCGGAGATGATTGACAGGCTGAGAACATGGCTGTGCCATTTACAATCTGTGAAGAGTCGCTGCTGCGCGTCCCTGAAAGCTATCTGTGCTGATTAATATGTAATGACATAAAAAAAGGAAAAAGAAAATCGTTTCGATAGTTTGTTCGTTGACGTCACGTTTAAACGCCCGCACGGGGATACTGACAAACATATTATCGTTTCGTCGTCGTGACGCATCCGGAAAAAGCATTAATGGAAAAAAAGAAACCTAAACAGAGAGCCCTTTTCTCCTCTCGTTATTTCTCTCCCTTTTTTTCGGAAGAAACCTCAATTTCTTTGTATTATTTCTCGATTGCTACTTTACAAGTAAGTCCAAAAGTATCTCATACCTCTAGATATAATTTCTTACGTTGTAATACAGTATCGCGAAAGCTTCACAACAGGTGTACCGAATGTAGCGAATCTAAAAAAACAAAGCGGACTGTCAATTAGTAATGATATTTCGGCTATGTTTTTATTTATTCGATGTAAGAAGCGATCTCGCAAAAAACTTGTTACAGGCACAGATGCGTATGTTTCGCAAGCGTAAGCGCACGCTGATGGAGCTTAGAAATAACAGAAATTGTATAGCGCAAGACAATAAATGGGAATAATTAAAATGTCTTTTTTCACCTTATACATTTATGTATAATAATCTCATTTATATATAAATATCTGTATCGCGCTCTCTGGAATATTTTAGAGAGAAATTGTTTTATCATTATTTGTATATATTTTTATTAAATGGAATAGATCTGAAAAAAAAAGTTGAATAATTTAATGGAATATTATATTTATTATTAAAATATAAAATTATTATTTATGCCAAGAATCATATTTCAAATATAGATATAAAGAATATAATTAGTATGAGTATTTTATTTTTTTCTCAATATATCATAATGTAATTATTTTAATTAATGACATTATAATAATATAATTATTATTTAAAATAAATAAACACAAATTAAAAAAAAATATTCATACATTAGATTTTTTGCAAATATAATTTTTATTTATATAAATGGATATATGTATAGACACAGGATGTAAGACAAGAAAGAAAAAGAATTTACAAGTGAAAAAGTAAAAGAGCATTCTGGAAGAAAACAAAACGGCTGATTACGTAAACGAAAGCAGAATTACATTAGTTTTACATATGTGAGTGATAATGTCGATGGCGGATTTTGCAGGCATTAAAATTTGCAGTAAAGTAACTACAGATGATCGATGATTGATGACAAGAGCAAACGTCGTATACAGCGTAATATCAAATTTTTATAACGATATTTTTTGTCAACATAATCGCGTATGCAATATGGGGCGCGAGTTTGCAATTACGAGATGTATACATATGTGTTTGCATACATACGAAGGCGTATATGTCGTAGCGCATGATGAACGATTTATTTGGCAACCATCTGACGCACAAACGTCATAAACCGCTATAACGAGATCGGAAAAATTCGGAAAGGCGTAGACTGCGAGCGATGTCCTTCGAGAGAAATAGTAATTATTTATATGATCTCCCGAATTCTTGGACAAGTGCGCACAAACTTGTCAAACACACGTGGATCGATATTCCGAATATCACGCGAAGAATCTTTTTATATAGTTATCGCGTAATTAATTCTTTTTTTTGAAAAATTGTGCGCGATTTATCGACATCAATGATGTTATTAAGAACATTATTAATAGCCTCAAAACCGATTAAGGCGTTATTATATTACGAATAACTATTTAGCTGTTCTTTCTGCTTGTTCATTCTTTAAACATCTTGAGAGATCGATTTATCTTACTTAATTCTCGCGTTCACATAAAATCGTCTGATTTTTCCTATTTTTTACTTTATCTTCTTGTAAACTTTTTATCAAGTAATCTACAATTTTATTTTATTACAAAACATATGATGTTTTAAGTAATTAAAAAATATGAAATAAACTATCTGTCAATGCAATTCTTCACATCAGGATCTGGTTTAATTCACAACTGCAAGTGTTACTGCGCCTGTATGCATGTCATCTGTCATACAAGAGAATTATGAATTTGTATAAAATTCTTTCTTGATTATCGCGCGGCTCTCACAAATGTGTATATGTACAAGTGTTTTGCCGTATAATGCGCAAGCAAATCAAACATTGGCCGATTAATTTATATTAGGACGCGAAATAGGTCCCTTTCAAGTATTCGAGCTACAGATTCTCTCGCAAAAAGTCGGGTAAACCGCGGATATTCGTCGATATCCGAGGTATCGCTCGCTGCACGCGAGAGAGATCGCAGTTTGCAAGACCATTTTAATTTGAAGTGCGCTATCAATTTTATATTATTCTATCCGAGAATTAATTTACGGGAAATTTCTAAAAATCGTTCCGCGTTTCTCGCGATCCGTATTAATAGAAAATGTTTTTCGCAATATTTCTGTTATGTCTGAGCGGAGTACCGTTCATACAATGCAAACAGGTAATTTTAATGCTTAAAGTAATATCAGATTCAATTGTCGCGATTGAGATCCGCGTAAAGAAAGACAAAAAGTATATATGAAATATTAGCAATTAAAGGACATATTTTCAGCTTCACGAATATATGACGCCGGCCGAAGTAATGTCCATTTTTCACACCCCGCCTCATCTTGGTGAGTAATAAAATTTTTGTTTAACAAAAAGTATATCTTTTCGTTTCATTTCCATGTTTTATCATGCGATACACTTTTTTTTTAATTCTTTGGCCGTTAAGATTACTTATATATATAACTGATAAAATTTTATAATATACATATAATCACACATATAATTATGTACTACTGCAATGTGTGATAATAGTATATTATTTTTTTACTAATTTATAATATTTTCTAATGTTTAGTACCCAAATATGAAGTAGTGCCCTTGTTACGTCGTTTGAAAAAGAAATTGAAAGGCAACGATGATGATGCATCCGAGGTGCATCTAAAAGCATTCAACGAAAGCGTTAGATTGTATTTGAATCCTACGGAAGGTATTCTGGCCAGTGAGAATACACCCGTATGGACCGTCACGTCCGATCCCGAGTCACCCGAAGGATTGCTCTACAAGCAAGTACCTTCGGTACGTTCAATTTATCATTCAGAATGTAAAAACATATATAATATATCTTTCAGACATATATTATATCTCTATACCCAAGAAATAAATACGGAAAAAAAATTCACTGTTTAATTATCTCTGGTGCAGGCTATGAAATATATGGGGATACCGCTTCAAGACGTATACAGCTCGAGCGCAGTTGTATTGACACCCACTCCCGATGGTCAAGTGCATTTGGTAATATTGGATCTTTTAAAATATTATTGTCAAGATATACTTTTTTTACGTTTAATTCCTCATCCCAGGATGGAGTGCTGAACAATTCACTCGTTATAAAATCTCTTCCGCATCGAATTCTGAACGAAATCGCCTACGGAGGACATAATCTTTACGAGCCGCATCATAAGAAGAATGTAACGAGTGACGACGAATTCGCTTATACACATCATCATGTGGTGTACAAAATGCCTCAGTCGCATCAATACAATGATTTCAGTAAGCTGTTAGATATCTATGAGAATTTGAATATATATATATTCTGTTTCGAAATTGTCAAACTACATCTCTCTTTCTATGTGTTCTGATAAAATATTAATATATCCCGATATTACAGAAATTGCAGATCCGGAGAATTACAGAACAAAACGTAACGCTCCGGAAATCATTTATCCGGAAGTCTTAATAGTAATCGATTACAAAGAATACAAGTAAAGTTAAAAAAATATCTAATGGCAATACATCGTGAATTATAAGAGAAATATATTAATTACATTTTATTGTATAGATTACTTGGTGAAAATATCGAGAAAGCTTTAAGATATCTGCTCTCATTTTGGAACGGAGTTGACTTGAGATATCGTCTGTTGACCACGCCTAGAATTCGATTCAATATCGCAGGGATAATTATAGCTTTGGTACGTTTTAACTTGGTGCACTTTTATCACATTCTCATATATATTTATAATTTTACATAGATTTTTCCTTTGATTAATTATTGTGCATCAAAAATGAAAAAATGGTACTTTCTTAATAAAGCATAAAATATAAAACGTTTCTATATTTATATATATTTTTTCAAAAAATATAACAAAATTATATTTTAACATAATAATCTTTTTATTTTAGGATGATCACGCAACTCCATATCTGGAAAAGAGTCGTTTTGAAGCTTCGTCCGTAGATGCGGATCTCGCTCTACGCGGTATGGCAGATTATTTTTATCGCGAAAGCAGATTTCCAGCAGTTTTCTATGACATGGCGATTACTTTAACGACGTAAATACCTCTTTGTTTCTTTAAATTTTACACTCAAAATCGTACAATATACGATAAAAAAAAAGTAATACACGATTCATAATTTCAGATTGGATATGTGCAATATGATCACCGACGACTATTGCGATACATCAACTTTGGGTAGGTCTGTTAATGTATCATATCAAGTGCGCGAATTGTTATTGAATACTCTATTCCTAACTGTTTATACATAACACATTAATTCTAATTGTTTACAAAAATAAAAAAATCTGACATAATGATAGATTTTGTGTATTTTCGCAGGATATGCATATGTAGCTGGTGCATGCGACAGAAATGCAACGAAACAATCGTCGGAAGCCGTAGGAATCGTCGAGGATAAGGGTGGATATGATGGGATCATCCCCACGGCTCACGAAATCGGCCATTTGTAAGTCAATATTCTCATCTTTTATAGCTTAATTTTGCTCACGATAATGGATCATTTTTTAATTAATGTGAAAGGCAACGTTGATGAGGAATCATTGACGAATTTTGAGATTGAGTAGAGAAGAATTAATTTAATCTTGTAAATAATTAAATTCAATATTTGAATTGCCAAAAGGACTAATTGTCACTCTTGTTTAATGATTATAAATGTGCATTGTAAAAAAATATACGCATAAATTAAAAAAATATCTTTCATTTTTGAATATATATGGCATTCAATTATTAATTTAAAATCGTTTGATGAATCTTTTTTCGGATTGCAGGATAGGAGCGCGTCACGACGGCAGTCCCAAGGGCGCAGCAGATTGTCCAGCTTTCGACGGTTTTATTATGACTAGTGGGCTTATGTTACACGAGAATGGTTTCGAATGGTCCTCGTGCAGCATTAACGCATTCTACAATTTTATCAAGTATGAATATATCGAATGATTTATACATTCATTTACTATTGAAACAAATGTGCATAAGAAATATGCAGATATTAATCTAAAAATTTATTTCAGCGAGGACAGAGCTAAGTGTCTTTACAACGAGCCTGATGTCTTGGGTAAACAGATACCACGTACTTTACCCGGGAAATTGATGTCGTTAGATGAACAATGCAAAAGAGTTTTCGGATCATCGGCGTGCAATGTGAGTTTAGTAAACGCAAAATGTCCTAATAAGTGAATTATTTGTGCGAGTTTATAGCTCGTGTTTTTGTTTTTACAGAAAGATGCTACAGTCTGCACTCGCTTGGAATGTGAATATCCTGGGTTTGAAGGCTTTTGTAGAGCAACAGCTCCAGCAGCAGAAGGATCTCCATGTGGAGATGGTTTGGTAAGACTAAAATTATTATTAACTATAATATTCTTACTTATATATTATATATAATATTGTATTCAACATTTTTTTAGTTCTGTTTGAATGGCAAGTGTGTACTGGAAGGAACAATGGTTAAGGAACCAAAGAAGAAGTATATGCCAAAATTCATTGTTCAAAAGATCAAGGAAATTCCATGGATTTCCAAATTGATGAAAAGACTAAAGAAGAGACTGCATATTTTGTAAAAATGAATGTACATGTTAAGGTAAATGTTTAATTTATTGATTTTGTATCAGGAAAAAAGCACGAGTATGTACTTTAAAATTTGAAATAACTATACTTCTTTTTCATAATCAAAAGAAACATTCTCATTTTATCTTCACTTTTACATATAATCGCAATATGCTATCCAATATCTGACATTTAAATGCAATTTTACAGCAGAAAAAAAGTAAGATTTTGATAAACAATTTATAAAATAAGTATTCTAATCTGTGTTATAGGACATTATATATGCTGATATATTATCGTACTCTACATTGCTGCTGCTGCTTTAATAGGATGCCACATAAAAAAAATACAAACAAAAATTTAATGTTCAAGATATATATTCTTAAGAATGTTATTGTATTCTATTCTGATTGAAACTTTGTACATAGTAGTCTATGCTTGTAAATATGTCAAGGGAGTTATGTATGCACGCATAATTCACATAAAAATATCAGAATATAATACCAGGATCCGGAAACTATTACATATTCTCTTTCAGTCACACATTGTTAAGCAAATTTTTAATTCTCATTACCGTATATATTTATAATCATACTTTGATGCAGATTTTTCATATTCTCCACATTAAATATCTTGATATTCAAATCATAAACAAAGTTTGGCTAAACTAAAATCTCAAAGTTAGAGAATCTGTTTAAAAATGTAAGGATTTTAATTCTTCTGTTTTCTTAAAGATAAAAAGTAAAATTTTTTAAATTATTTAATATTGACTAACTTTTGATGTTTTTATTTCTATAAGTACAGAGAATGTGATAGTTTTGGAACGCCCTATATATGATACGCACATTTATAAAAATAAAAAAAAGAATGTAAAGTAAAATGTAATGCACACAAAATAAAAGTTGACTTATCTGCTCTACAAATTGAACATTTAAATAATATTAACAATATACATTATTTAGCAACCTAAAGTAATTCCTTCTAAATAATAGCATAAATGTTAATATATAATCTCTTGGCGTAAATAAATAGTATATTCATTTTTTAAATATGCAAATAAGATCATTTAATACTTAACTTGGCACTTAGATGAAAATTTTAATCATTTTAACATAAAATACTTATTCAATTCTTTGTGCATTATATAGAAATGTCATTTTATCTAACAATAAGAGAATGTAATAAAATATAGAAAAATAAATAAGACAAAATATTAACCGGAAAAACTAATAACTCTCAATTTATTATGTTGTTGGATCTATGCCTATTTCATCATACAATTTGTCTTTGCTACCAGGATAATTATCCAAAATGCAATCTATTATCTCAGTGACTATTTTTTTTCTTTTCAAATATGTACGTGTGTATTCGTCCAGAGTCTCTTGTGCCTTTCGTTTTAATATTGAATGATCATGTAAGTCTACTGTACTGCTATTTTCCATCAATTCATCTAGTTTATGCGTTAACTCTTTTATATTTTGCTGTAATATAACCTTTTCTTTTTGTGCATCTTCCAATGTTAAACTTGACTTCAAAGAAGACAAGAAAGCCTCATGTTCTTTCGTCTCTCTCAAAATTTCTTGATATTTATTCTCTTTGGCACGACTTTGTGCTTCTTTGTCAATCTTCAATGACTCGTCAGTATCATACATTGAATCTTGGACAACACAGTAAATTTTATTTTTGCCATAAACCTAAAGATAAAATAAGAATGGAAATTATTTTTTTAAATATTTTATATCCTTTTATGCATTGTATTATTACTATATCTACTTTTTCAAACAGTTTCTTATCTGTCACCAGTTCATCAACAGCCTTTTGAACCATAGTTCTGCTATATTTATTATCTAAATTTGTGAGTATATCATTCAAATTGTGAGGTTTATTTTCAGTCTTCATGTAATTATATACAGCCTCCGTAGCCATTATTACATTTAGCTTGGAATACAATTGAAATTGAGGTATATGACATATATATGTAATATGTTTTAGCAGAGAAAAACCTGAGAGAAACTACGCCGCCGTTTTTCAAAAGACGCTTTTTCTAGCTCGTATAGTAGCGTCACCTAGATCCATTTTAGAGCCGGCGGAATTACATAGCCAGATTCACTTTTCGGTGCCATGGTAAAACAGTCAATTGGTGCATGTCCGTGCTATATACATGAAATAAATTTTCTTAAATAAATTTTCTTAATAATTTTTTCCCTAATTTTTAAATATAACGTATAAAAGATTTTTATAATAAATTGCTTTGACTTTTTTCTTATTCTTGAAACAAAAGAATTAAGCATTTTGAGCATTATCAAATCATGCTTTTAATTTATATAGATGCACATTAAAAACTATTATATAGACAAATTTTTATAAGCATAATTAATTAAATTTTCCTATAGTTTTAACCGTGTTCTATCGTTTTTTAAGGGAATTTTAATTGTTGACAGCGTTAATTAATTTTTTTCACGTTTATATATGATCGCCAGTGATACTATATCAGCTGTCAGATTTTCGCGAAATGTCATAAAATGTCAAAAAATCGCGATATCTTGTGCAATATCGTTTTTTTAGCGTATAAAATATTAAGTATTTTTTCTATATTGTGAAATTCCATTCAAAATTGTAATTAAAAGATCAGAAATACGAAAATAATAATTTTCGCGGGAGATTGAGATATGTATTTGTACGACATTAATTTCAAAAACGACTAAAATTCCCTTTTCTCTATTATTATCTTTTTCACTTTCATTTTATTTAAAAATATTAATATAAAAAATATAACTACAGTATCTATCCGAAATATTCATATAATGCAAAATTTACTAGAAATTTTTAGATAAAATATAAATGATAAGGAACGGTTAATGCAATATTTATAATTAATGATCAATATGCAATTAGAAAGCTTATTAAGTTTTATATAATGCAAACAATTCTGATCAAAAGAGTTAATAAAATTATCGATTGTTTTTCAATTAAGAAGAAAAAAGTACTTACAGTTAGATTATACTGGCGCATTTTGCGTAGAGTTGCAAAGAAAATATCCGAGAAAAGATAGACGAAGCTTCGATGTAAATCAACGATTAAATCACAAGATAAACCGCGATTTAACATTTGCGAAAAAAACGCGACGAATAAATCGACAATAGCCGTAATATTCGCGATTCCAATATACATGCAATCGAAGAAACAATACAATTATTACATACTTAAACGAAAATGTTTCGGCGGACATTTTGGCTTTTTATAATCGCGTCTGTAATATAGGACATTTGTATTTGTACAATTTGAATATAAAATCTAACGCCCGATTTATTTTCAAATGCGTGATTTCATTAAAACTAATTTCGCGATTGAGAATAACAATATATGTACCGTTTCGCGGAGGATTGGCTAAACAGGATAAAATCTTATAAATCTTAAGATACCGTTATAAAAACATTGCGTTATTGCCGCGTTCAATGAAGGATAACTGGCCCAACGATTTGACCAGATCAAGATCCTTCCGCCAGATAACACGCCGGTTAATATCCGACAAAAACAAGAACAATCTTAAAGATGGAGAACGGTCAACTTCTTGCTTCTACATCGGACCCCGTAAGATCAATCCGCAAAGAAAAGTTAAGTGATCCATTAAATATCAGGAACCTCGCTGCAGGAGGGAACGAATCCCGGATCTTCCATACTGCTCCCGATAGCAATGATTTCAGTAACGAATCAATGACAGTTACCATTGTCATTATCTTTAATTCACGAGCTTGAAATTCGCGCGAGAAAATGTGTTCTTCCATTATTAAGAAATATATCTCTTGATTACAAATTAAATGGATATAACAATTTTTATAAAAATGTGATTACGAACGACTATATTTATGGATAATAAAATACATGTATCGCGTTATTGTAGCTAGTATTAAATGTGCGAGTACAAATAATCTCGGGTACCGACTGCTCGAGACGAATCGAACTCAATAACAGCGAAATTTAAAAAAATTTAATTTGAATACTTTGCAACACATAAAATAAATCAAAATAACGGCAGTCGTTGTTGAGTTACTACCGAAAGCATTGCTTCCAGAAATCGCCAGGAAAACCTGGGTTTAATTCCAATCCTGCAACGAACATCCCTAATTTTCAACAGAGCACCGAACTAGACGTCGCGATAATAATTACAATTAATTATTGTACAATCATAATTAGAGTACAATTTACAATTAATAATGCTACCAGTATATCAAATAGATATATCTAATATATCCAATAACTTATTGTTAGATAATTGATGAACAGCATTTACAAGAGTTCAACATTACATAAACTTATATAATAATATAATAAATATATATACAAGTTTAGATATATAAAATAAAATGTAATACACATAGAAAAATTAAAATTATTAATTTTTCTACAAATTTTTTATAATTAATTTTTACTTTTCTTAAAAAGAATCCTATTTTAAGTTTTCTTAAGAAGTTTAAGGAATTAAATGACTATCTTAAGTTA